AGAGTGGGGTTAAAAACCAGCTGTGAACAGTTTCTGGAAGATACTTAGGGAGATTTGACTGTGTGTTACCTCGAGACTAACTCCTTAATTAAATGGGAGCTCTTTATTATGTGTAGGTGTGTTCTGTATCCAAGATACCTCCAGAAACATTTAAAGCTGTGCATATTTAGGAAATAGAGCTGTGGAGTTTCCATTATACCCATAATGACACCACTAAATAAAGAGGAAGAGATGATAGCATAAGCATCTTTCATTAAGTAAAAGTTGGAAGTGAAATATTTGAGTAAGAGTGTGTATAAAAGTATCCCAAAGCAGAGTGATGTTTAAAAATTACTCTAATTTGGTCTTATATTGTGTGCCTATGAGGTGCTTTTCAAATCTCTGTGGTTGCTTTTTGGTAAGGAGACAGAATAATTTGAGGTCTCTTCTTAGGTACCTGAGTAGTGAGTTTTTCATTTATTAAACTTGAAAGGATTTCAAATATTATTTTATACTTTGAATTTTCTAGCCTTAGTAATATAAGTCTATGTATAAATATGCACATATATACACATGTATGGATAAAATTCCCCAAATACTAATCTCCTTTAACTTTCCTTTGAAATTACTTAAGTCTGAAAGTGCATTTGGGTCTGTAGCTGGTTTTAATATGCAGAGAAGTTAATTCCTGTCTTTTTTTCAGATTCTCTTTTTTCCATTGCTCTTTTCTTATTTCATCACTAAACCAGACATGTTGAAAATATCTGTAAGTGCAGAACCAATTTGCTCAAGGATCCATTATGATCAGCAAAGGCAAAGAGAGGAATTTGTGGGGAATAAAATGTACCTGGGGATGCAGTGTGGTTGTGTCTAGGGAGTGGAGGGGACAAGGAAGAAATGAGATACCAGCTGGAGCATATGAAAGAGAAGATTGCTTAAAAAAAACCCCTGAAAGCTTCTACATGGCAAATAGGAGGAGAAGATTCTCATGTTGGCATTATGGTGTTCTATCAAGTGAGAAGTGAATGAATTGCTTTGGCTTAGATCTTGGACCCCAACTGATGTTTTTACCCTGCAGATAGCAACTCGGTTGGTCTTCTAAAAATAGCTATTTCACATTGCAAATATGCAGATTGTGCCAACCCAGAAGAACATATGATTTCAAGATGTTGAAGAAATGATGAAAAGCCTATGTAACACTTTTTTATTTTTCCTCCCTCCATAATTTGCTCCCTGCTAAAGTTTCAATTACTGCTTGGTGACATGTTGGGAGCTGACACACAATTTCAGTCTCATGTTTCCCTTCCCTTTGCCTATTTCTCACCTGTATAAGCCACTGTTCATTTTCATTCAGAGCTCTGCATGAGGGAGCCCATTTATTCTGTCTCTTCCCATGGTGTTTCTTGGTTCCCATTTCCAGTTTTAGAAATGTCTACCAGTTTGCTTTCTGGTACTGTTTGTGGGCTTTGGCTATCTGTGCTCTGGCCCTGTGCACCTACATGGAGGTAAACAAACAAAAAGCAAGCTTTGCCTCGAAATGAAAGTGCTCGGAGATGGATTTACCATCTGCTGAATGGTTATGTGAAATGGGACAGGGAGATCTGTCAGTTTTTAGTTGCATGTTGAAAACAGAGTGAGAAATGAGTTAGTTTTTCCTCACCACAGTTAGGGACCTGTGCTATTGCTATGCAACACATGTACTGTGGAAGTACCAGCACTCTCTCAAGTTTGATGGGTTTTTAGTGCATGTTAGATTGTTTTTCTTTGGCTTCTTGCTGACTTTTTTTTTTCTTGAAGAAAATAAATGTACCTATTGTCATTTTGTTTTAGGCTTCACTTGTGTTTTTCCCTTTCAGTATGAAACTTTTGTCTTTTTATGTCCACCTGCTGTAATGGTTAAACACAGAATCATGTTGTGCAAGCTAGACTGAGGGTACAGCAATGCAAAACTGGCTAGTCTGAGATACTGCTCAACAAAAGGCACTGTAACAGGTAGTCAGCTAAGGCCAGGAGTGGGGAGTTTGTAATTACCTGCTTTTGTCACATACAACTATGCTTTGATGTAAAGAGTACTTTGTTTCTGCTGAACGGAAAATAGAAATTCAGAAATCATACTTGTAAGAGACCTACTAGAGGAAAAAGAAAAGAAGCATGAAGTAGCTGTGGAGATCAGCTTGCAATGGATTATTTAAGAAAGTAATATTTGTCACTCTGATGTATTAAATTACTTTTTTCTCAAACTAATCAATGTGGAGTGACTGTATTTTCCTCCACAGATCTTACATTTTTCTGTTTTTCTTTGTTATCGTCTTCCACTAAACTGTCCTGGAGAGAGCTGTTCAAGTCAGGTCAGAAACTTGCTAGCCCTCATATTAGTATCTGAAATGCCTTTATCTCTTCCCATGCTGCTGTGCCCCTGAGATCACAGCTGCCTTTTCTTATCACAGTTAACCTCCCCTTTGCTGAAAGGGAACTGAATGATAAGAGCTTTCAGTGCACATCTACAAGACCCAACTGGTAAGGCAGGTGCTCCTCAGGCTGATTTAAGCATCCTCTTTCCAAGGATTTGAGTAATTATTCTGCATGGGCATCAACTGTTGGATGGCAGCTTTCTGCCTGATTTGGTGAGAGGCAGCTGAGAGGGAAATAGGTAGGTGATGCTTCAGCTCTGGCATTAAAAGGTGATCATTGCCAATATGGCAATAGAAATACCTACATGGTGATTTAATAGTCTGCTTCCTTTTCAAATCCAGCCTACACGTGCCCAGCTCTGTTTTGAAATTATAGTATGAAAGTGACTCTTAATGGTGCTTAAAGTTTCTCTCAAGTTGTGACTAAGTCAGCAGCAGAGGTATTATTCTCCATTATTCCTTTTATGTCAGCAATAAACATTTGTAAAAGCTAGATGTACTCTGCTTTTTATTTTGCACTATGCTCTCTGTTTCTGACTGAAGCTGGCAAAACTCTTGACAGGACTGCCATAAAGTAATAGAACCAAAAAGATGAAAAATCACAATCATGTTCTTCAGTTACAAAATAAGCTCTCCTATGATTATTCCAGTCTAAAAAAATCTGCCTTTAGCAAAGTTTTCTGAGTCAGACTGAACCTTGTTTGGTCTTTGCTGTTCCAGAGCTCAGTACTGGTAATTGTTGGTGATAAAATACGTGATTTTTGGTGTAAAAATTTGGACTGTAGAAACTAAGGACTGAGTGCACAGAATTACTGTATCACTGGGGCCCCACTTCTTCTGACTAGGAATTAAATCCTCTCAAAGTTCTGGGGGCTTGGGCTCAGCAAGACCACTATTCTATTTCACATAAGCAACACAAGACTGTTCAATAACCTTTCACTGCAGCTTCTCCCTGAAAGTTTGCAAGTCTCTAATTTGCTTGGGACTGAATCTAAACCAGTTCTTGTGCTGCAGGACAAATACATGGCACATAAATCTGCTGATTATGGACTGCAGGTTTTGATCCCATGGAATTACTTTGCACTCCAGAAAAGAGGAAAAAAGTAGTGACTGGCTTTGGGAAACATAGCCTAGTACTGCTGCACAACTTGTTGGATGCACAAACTATTGCTCATATTTATACTCTGTAGTAAAACCAAAATGAAACAAAATATCTGTGGTTATAGAAGGAAGAATTTGTAGTCATCAAATCATAATTAGAGTGTCAAGAAAGAGTTTATACTCATTATTCACTAAAACAAAATAGATAAGTAGTTATTGATTAAATGGTTGCATTCTTAATAGCAATTTATAAATCCAGGACTCAAAAGATAATGTTTGTTTTGCTGCTTTTAATTATTTAACATGCAATGACATTTCTGTTTTGCCAACAGCAGCACAATAGGTCCCTAATGAACTGAACTGAGTTACTAATAATTAAACCATCAGGAAGAAGTAAGGGGTGCAGCCTGTTATTAGATTAACATTCTTAAATAATCATTCTTCTGTTTTTTTTAGGAAAACTCTATGAGAGTCTTCTGCCCTGCCCCAAACCAACTAGACAACAGCCTGCATGAAAAAGCAAAGTTTATTTTTGGCTGACACTTCTTATAGACTACTTGGAATCCTGATAAAAAACACCCTGAAATTGTTCATAGGACTATGATGAAAGTTTGGTTTCAGTGCTTCCAACTCTAGCCTATAAACAAATAGAAATTGATTGTTTGATGAGAATGTTGGTCAAGCTTTTTTCTTTCTCTAGTTGACTTCTCACTCTGTGATTATGGTCATTTTAAGTGAAAAAGGCTTGGAGTGCAATAAAAAATTGGTTTATATGGTTTCTTGAAGGGCAGTATTGGAAGGCAGTGGACTTGTTGAAGAATTTTGTTCACCAGGGAACAGAGGTTGTGTAAAGAATAGGATGGTAATAAAATAAACGCCTAGTCTAATACCTTCAAGTAAAATCTGTTGGGTTTTTTTGTGTTTGTTTGTTTTTCTACTATAACTGAATATTCTTGCACTGTAGCTTCACAAATATATGGAAGAAATAAACAGGTTGTTGAATGGGAAAACAAGAATAATTGAGTTATGGAACAAGAGTAATATGAAAATTGATGGAAAATACGAACCCTTCTTATTTCAGAGCAGAATGAATAAGAAGAGATAAGATAAAGGAATTAGAAGAGATGACTGTTGTAGAGAAGGTAGAGCAGGAAAATTACTCACTCTTTTTCTTAATATTAATAAAGGAAAATACTCAACAGAAAAAAACAACTTTCAACTTTGTTCCCTAGCAGAATTATTTGATATCCTTGATAAAAGGCGCTACTGACTTGCAGAAGTTTGTACCATTCATTTCTTTAAAAATTGACTGTTAACCTTAAGAAATATTCAAAACTTGCTGATAATATAAATTCCAAAGTTCCCATTTTTATTCAAAGTTCATCTAGCTATTGGCAAAATCTTGATTTTTTAGTCAGATTACTTAATAGCAAGTCTTCACTGGAAAGGCCTGTGTCAGAGGCTGGTGAGGGGCAGAGGGCACATTGCTTTTTCTCTCATCCCACGCAGGACGTTTCTGAAGGCTCCTGCCTTCTCCATCAAGTTGGGAAATTCAGATGAGCCTGAGCTGAACATTTGGATAAGTGCTGTTCATCCCTAAAAGCTGTGATGTGGAAGTGTCTGAGCAATGGACTGCTCTTGTTGGTGTTGGTAAGTTCTTGCTGTAAATGTACCAAATGTGGCATAAAACTCTGGTGATGAAGTTGGCAGATATCTTTTGTTTTTTAAAGAAAACTATTTTAAATCTTTTTGATCTCTTACATTGCTAAGAAACTTTCACAGATAAGCAAAAGAAGACTTTGTTTGTATTTAAAATTAATCTACATTCAGTAAATTTGTTTGAGAAGTTAATGTATCAGGAAAAATGTGACTAGGAGGCAAGAATTTACATAGAGCTGTAAGAAGAAATCAAATATACCTTGGATCAGGACTAGTATTTCTTGCTTCACTGAATTTTGCCCCACTTGTAAGAAATAAACATTGATAATTTGTCCTCTTTCTTTTTTTTTTTTTTTTTTTTTTTTTTTTTTTTTTTTTTTCAAATGCTACGACAGACAAATGTTTCTGTCTACCCTACAACTGAAAACCTCTCTGGTCATTATTCTTAGAGTAAATTCTATCTGATCTGCTGCAGACTGAAGTCTTCCACTGGTTAGCACTAGATATGACTTTGGGTCAGTATTTTTGAGTGTTCACATCCTTCTGGGGGAAAAGAATCTTAAATGTGCCATTCATGCTAAAATATCTGCCCTGGTTATTTCAAAAAATTGAAAAAATTGAAACAGTTCTCCAAGTTGGTACTTGGAGAGCCAACTTCATTTGTTGGGCTGTTAGCTTGTCATCAAACATGGCAACTTGTTGTTTTCCATTATTCCTATAAATAATAATTTTAACCTTCTGAGGTCTGGATGTGAAATATCTCATCACTTTGAGACTCTTAGAACTATATATTGATCCTTACTATGTTTTCTCTCAGGTTTTTGGCAGCAGACAGCTCATGTCCTGAAGGGGATTCAGATAGTGGTGCTTTCCATCTATGTTAATATGAAATTAATGGAAGTTTCTTATAATGCAGGTGAAAACTTTTGTTGTACTCCATATGCAAGTCTGGGTAAGCTTTGACTTCTCCCCAAATACCTTGTCTTTGAATACTTGCTTTAAGTAGCTTGAAGTCCTTCCCAGGTGCTCATTTAATGTTGCTTTAATTTGGATTCATCATTTACCTTAATTCTAACATTACTGGGAAGTTTTAGCGATGGAGGTGCTTTCCCAATGTTTATTTCCTGGAAAACAGGCTGAGGAGCTGCCTGCAGACCAATCCTATTACTGTAAATATGCACAGACTCATTTGCATCAAACACAAACCAGCCAAAGGCATTGTACACTGCATTTCACACTGTAAAAAATACATACTATATTAGAGGAAACATGAAAATCAAGGTGTTTTTTTTCCATTATTAGTAGTTGATAACAATGCTGGTTTAAACTTTTCATTGCAAAGTGTTTTCAAACGTGATTACTAGGGGCTTAATTTTGTTCCCAATAAAGCAGATGTTGCTAACTTGCAGTTTTCCTGGTCTAGGAGATTGGGAAAACTCACACTAAAAATTATCTTTAAATGGTCCTTCAGGCTTGGTCTAAATCAGAGAGTAGCAATTACTCTGTCCTTGAGTGGCCTGCAGTGGCCTGTACCAGATGTTTCACAAAAACTGGGACATAATTTTAGAACACAGAGACTAAGGATAAACCTTTTCCAGGTTTCTGTCTGTTTTTTTTCAAGCAGTCAGTCAAATTCCTTCCAAAATGTTTGCTTTTACTCATGAATGTTCTGGATATCCTTGAAAAAGGTATTGATGGCTCCCCCATTCTGGTGTTTGTGTTGCTGAGAGCAAGTCTGTGCAGGCCATGCTGCTGTAAATCTGACCAGAGTATGTGAAGAAGTGAGAAATGCATTGTGCAAAAAGCACTTTCTTTTGCAGATTTTTTGTTTGTGAAGTGCAGTGTGATGAGGGCTATTGTTTCCTACTGCTGTTAGACACAAAATGCAAAGTATTTCCATGGGTGCTAGATGCATGGGACTGCTGCCAGTTTCCTACCAGCGCTATGGGGATGGGACAGCTAAGGGAATTCCTAGATCATAGAATCATGGAATAGCCTGGGTTGGAAGGAACCATAAAGTTCATCTCATTCCAACCCTTTGCCATGAGCAGAGACACCTTCCACTAGACCAGGCTGCTCAGAGTCCCATCCAACCTGGCCCTGAACTCTTCCAGGAATGTAAAGTGCCCAACCTTTCTGAGCGACCTGTGTCCTTCCATCCTCAAAGGAAGGAATTTCTTCCTAATGGCTCAGATCAGAATCTCTATAAACTTGGACTGAATTGTTGAGGAGGTATTTTTTTCAAATCTTCATGTGATTCACTTCTCCCTATTTATATATTATGTTGCTTCTGAAAATCTGGGGAATCTGAAGAAAAGCAGTGCAGGGGAGAACTTCAGCCCACTTCTGCAAATTTGTGAAACTCATCTAGTATGTGAGTTATTCAAACTGAATCTCAACATCTTTTGAAATTTTCTCATCTGTCAAGAATATGCTATTTCATTTAAACTATGAAAAGACTAAATAGATTCCATAATTTAGTAAATATTTTGTCTTCTGACAGCTCCTCTTTTTCTTCTACTCTTTCCGTTTTTAAGACTATTTTTCCCCTCCTCTCCTTGATGTGATATTTTGATGAGGTTTAGAGGCGGCAAAATAAATAATTTGGGAAAAAAGTTAGAATTTCTTACAGTAACAAGTTCCCAAATCCATCTTTCTTTTTTCCTTCCTTTTTATTTGTCATGTAGGTATTTCTATTCATTTTAGGAGACTAATCTGAGTATTTGGTAGTTACTGGTTGGACTAGGGCTCTTGGATTTGGGCCCCTTTTGAATATGAATGCAAAGCTGAAAAAAGTCATGTTGAATTTTTTAGTTATGTGCTGAATCAGAAGGTTCAGAAAAAGTTCATTTTATTTTTACTTGTAGAAATGTGATTAGCCAGAAACTCTGCTTTCAGAACCTGCAAACAGTCTATTTGTTTGCCAGCACCAGGATGGGGCTTAGACTTCCAATGAAAATATCTTTTTGTCTGCTAATGTAATGGGTGCTTATTTTCTGCATCTTCATGTTCCTTGGAAAAGCATCAGGGTTTCATTGTAAATCCATTATGTCTCCCTTGGTCAGAAATTATAAATGACAACTAGTCCCAAGGTAAAGAAAAGAAAGTATTATTTTGTAGAATAAAAAGGGGTTAAATCACTTTTTATCATGACTGTCCTCCTGGTTATGACATATTCAATGTATTATTTAGTTTAAGTGCATGATTAAGATAGAACTGGGGTTCTTCTGGGGAGCATTTTCACAGACGTTATACTTACAGTACCTCATTCTGTGGTACAGAAGAAAGAAAAATGACATGTCCCTTTGTGAACCTATCCTTTTAAAATTAGGTTATAGATTATATAGTGATGTGAGATCCTCTAAGAATTTCTGGGTCAGAGGTACTTTGTTTTCTTTCTTTTATACAGCAAACCCCTTGTATCTTTATTAAAAATTTATTTGCTGTCAATAATTAAATGCTTATTATTTGATCTTTAATGGGGTCATGATTCCCATATTCCCATATTAATGAAATAATGCAAAAAGTAAAACATGCCTTTCAGTTGGAAAAAGTACTTATTATTCTTTCTTTGTTCTGAGTAAAATAGTTTATCTTAAATTAAAAATTAAAAAAATGAATTTTCTTTAATCTTAGAATTAAATTAGTGCTAATTAGTTCTATTTTCTCTACAACATTCAAATGCTTAAGCCTTAGTCATTTCTTCAGAGTATTAATGGTGCCCTTTGGCTGTAATCAAGATAATCTTCAATTAAAAGCAATACAGTTAACTGAGCTACATTAACAGTTATTGTTCTCAAATCACAGGGTTAAGAACACAAATGCTGTGTGTTTTCAGCACGGCTACATTGCAGGGGTGTGTCATGGTGCAGGGACCTGTTATTCACATGTTAAAACTAAAAAGATGTTTTAGTTTTAACTAAAAACTAACCCAGAATGTTCGCTGATAAAACCCTTTGAACAAAGCCTTTCTTCAAGGTGGTGATGTAAACAGAATTCAAAGATGCTGCAGCAAGCTAAAACACCTTTTGGATTTGGCCAATGTTCACGTGGTCTCCCCCTGCCCCTGCACACCCCTCTCCCAGTCCTTTTTACTGTATAATCTGTAAACTATGGGGCATTTTCAATGAGTGAGTTATGCTCAATATTCACAGCTGTTATTCTCCTTTGTGAAGAGTTAAAGAGCAGTTGCCAGTCTGCAATAATTCATCTTATTTTATTAATTTCTTTCTTAGTTCAGAAAATTTATTATATGCAATAATAGTGGATTTCAGCTGAAAATAGAAGTATTTCTTTCAAATTTCTTAGTGTAGCCAATGTGAAGAAATTGTGGTCCCACAGAAACAGGAGAAAAAAAAGTGTTTTCATCCATGCTCATAGAACAGCTCTTTCTGGTTTCAAAAGCTAAGCACAGAATATGGGAAATTTCTGTTAATGTTGCTGTGTTTGCAAACAAAAACCCATAAACATCTTGAGCAAACATAACTAATGAGGGGAACCATGCTACTTGCTAGCAGATTACCACTCCAATAGTAAAAATAGACTGTGGCTCTTCTCAGTAAAAGTTAATAACAGTTGGTGAGACAAAAAAAAAGTTGAGTTGCAAAAATATTCTTACTGTATTTCCATATGCACCTGCCAATAGCACTTGTGTAAATTCCAACCAGAACACAAAGCTCTGGGCACTTCGAGTGGCTGCAGTACCTGGGACTTTGCATCAGTTTTTAATCCTTAAGATGACCTACCAAATTAAAATCTCTGTTTATTATGTTCTTGCTTTGGGATTTTTTTTTTTTAAGATTCAGATGTTACTAATTTGCAGAGTGTGGTGGTATTTTTTTCTGTGTTGCTGTCCTTCAGGAGCTAAAGATGTAAATATCAATAACTGGGCAGATATTGCCAGTAAACCAAATTTAAACAGGTTTCCAGGATTTAAAAATCTGTTTTCTCAAAGCATAAATGCAAGAAAATATTTTCTTTGAACTAGCATT